GGATCATTTGAGGAAGTACAGCAGCCCACAGAGGCTTTTGTTTGTTTGTTCAGTTATGATATTGAAAGCAAGCTGCACATAATTAATATCATTTGTTTAAACTGGTTCAGACGGCGGCACGTTTGGGATGCTCGACAATTCAAAAAGCCACAGAATATTAATCAGTCACTTTATATGTAAAAAAATAAATAAATTAACCTGACAATCACATAAAAATTCACGGCTTCATCCTGTGTGCATAAACACAAATTTGACTAACTGGTGTTAATGATCGCGAACAGCTGGAAAGGAGAAAAAGAGTCACTCTGTATGTCAGCTAAAGGCTATTATATTATTTTAAGTGCTGCTGTTCTGTGTGTCAACAGTTTTTGTTTAACTTTCAGTATGTCACCGATTGCTCACTAAATCACATTTATCTCTCAGACTTTGACACCTTTGTATTTTTTTCCATTGCTTATGTGCGATGATGAACATGTGAGCCTTATTGCTTGTGTTTACAGCAGTACACTACTAATGCAAGAGAAAAATATCAATTTATTGCATGTTTACTTTCACATCTCTGCATTTTTCAGAATGCACACAGTTTTTTCTTAGCACACCAATAAAAACTAGATCGGCACAGCGCCGCAACAACAGTAAAATTAGAGCTGGTTCCTATATTATACAGAAAAAAGTTTTCTCTTTTAGAAAAACAAAAGAAATGTGTGAAAAGATCAAAGCTCATTCAGGTTTTATCATAAACTAAAAATATAGGCCTTTCATTTTGGTGTTGGTACTTTTTGGTCAGTCACTACTGTAACTTTCTTAATGTCGGATAACTTAATTGGCTTTGTAACTTTAGCCCCTGTAATTATTTAAATATATATTTGTGAATTAGAAATGACGATCTCACTCCTGTGTGGAAGCGACTTGAGCGTTTGTACATCCTTCCTGAATAAACCTAAATAGAATTTGTTCTGCTATGTTTGATTTTTGTTTTCCTGTCTGAGTTCTCTGTATGTGTCAGTGTGCATGTGATGGCCGCAGCTTTGGACTCGCTGCTGATTACGATGCATACCGCTTACATACATTACATTTTATATGCACACTGTAAAAAGCTTTAGTAGTTAGAAAAACAAACAAATTACCTCATAATTCTGTTAATAACACCAAACTAACCGTGTGTCTCTCCCTGGGAAAGCTTGCTTTAAGTCAATTACAGCAGTGTGCTGGCTGTGCATCATAGATGGAGATTACAGCGATAAGACTTTAATGCCCTCAGACACCTTCCCCTCCAGCTCCACCTCAACCTCCCGTGTCTCCTCCATCAGACGCTCATCTCGGCTCATCCACTCTTTCTCTGGACTCTTGAAAAGACACAGTGACCCATCGCCCTGCTGCCATGAAGACTGCTCTGGCTGTGCTGCTGCTCATCTCTCTGGCCTGCCACAGTAAGTTTTTAGGAGAAAGGATCAACTTTGCTGATTACATACTAATTGGAGACTTTGTGGTGGAGAGAATCCATTTTTGGGGGAGAATTAGTCACTATATTTCAAATTAAGCCTGTCTGTTGGACATACTTAAATACCTTTGAGTGTGTGCAGATGTTCCCCAGTCTCAAATTGTAGGAGGCGACAGAAGCTGGATACTCTGCTCAGTGTCTGTGTGTGTGTGTGTGTGTGTGTGTGTGTGTGTGTGTGTGTGTGTGGGTGGGTGAATGGACTAATAAGAAGGTGGTTGCATACCTGCATGCTTGCAGCCACTTTTTGAATATGCATGCTTAGTCTCAAGCCAGGCACTCTCTCCTGTTCTGTCTGTGAAGGCCATGCTCTCAAATGTCACACATGCGTGGCGTCCAATGAGGAAGACTGCAACCGTCAGGGCTCCACCACCTGTCCTCAGTACGCTGATGCCTGCTCCACCATCACAGGGCCCAGTGAGTAAACACTCACACACATATACATGTACAAACACACACAGAAAAACAAGCAGAACCAGTATGATGTGACTGGATACAGTAGTGCCTCACTAGAGGTCAGCACAACACTGACAACCCACTGCTTGATTGTGTCACAGATTCAGGAAACCAGTGCTCCTTAAAATAGTGCTTAAACAGTTTCCATTTCCATAAAAAGAGGGTTTTTTTTTAGTCAATATTAAAATCCATAAACCACAAACTAATAAAACTCACTTAGCTGCTTCTCTTTTCTCATGCATTTAGCTGAAGGGGCTGTGGCAAGACCTTTTTCTGTTGGTAACAAAAATCTGAGATTATTTCACAGAGTGAATTCGTAACAGATCGGATGCATCTGATGATATTCTAAGCACTAAAATGACCTAAAGTTGTTTTTTTTTTCCACATATTGGTCACATGACATCTTTTATGTGTGTGTCCATTTGCGTGCTTGGAAAGTCTTCAGTTACTTCAACGCAGCTTATCCGTCACCCTCTCTGATCTCTTTCAGACACAGTTATGAAGTCGTGCACATACAAGGCCTTCTGTGACAAGGCTAACAGCGGCACTTCCGGAGCCAAGATGCATTGCTGCTTTGGCGATGACTGTAACGGGCCCCACAAGAGTCACAGCCACGGTGGTCATCACAACAGCACAGGGGCAATCTCTTCCAGCCCAGTCCTGCTGATCACAGCCCTGCTGCTGCGTATGGCCTTGAGTCAGCTGTAAATTCCTCCATCTCTTCCTCCCTTTTTTTGTTTTATTTTCCTTCCAGTGATTCATCACCTCCTCTTTATCAGTTTTATTTTTAAGTTCAAAAAAGGGATTTGAGTTGCAGAGAGTTTCATGTGGTTTGTGACAAATATCGTGTTTCAACAAGGGTTTTTGACTGCTGTGGTGGAAGGGAGTGTGGTCTGTTCTGCAGGTACAAGCTGCTTTAAAGCAGCTTCCTTTGTCTAAGTTATCATCCTCTCAAACAGTACCCTTGTTCTCTGTAGCAGCTTGTTGAATTTAAGAGGATTTGAACCTGGGGAGTGTTTGTGGTGAATAAATGTGTACAAAGTTAAGAACAGCTCACAGCTCTGATGCACCCGGGGGGGGACTCGAGTGTGGTTTTGGTAACTAAGTGCTGGGGTGCCTCACTAGTTTAGTGCACAGCTAGCTTGCTTCACACCGTAGAACCACAAAACGAATCTCTTTCGCACGGTAATCTGAAACTGATTTAAAAGATTTAAAATTGTCTGTGATGATGCTTTATTTTATCTGTATGCAAGCTTGTCTGAATAAAGACCTAATCACACCCTTGTTTCGTGTGTGGGTGCAGTGCATGGTAAACTGTGGCTCAGGTATCCTTGGTGTGGCATTTGACACACTGCTCCTCACTAAATTTGTGTTTATGTTAATGTCTCTGATGTAAAAGCACACCTCGGGCGTCTTCTGTACAGTAAAGGAAACATTCAGTCTGTGATTTTCAGCAGCAGCAGAAGGGTCTGCTGAAACTTCAAAGCTTCCTTTTGCAACAGTGTAAGTTAATTTCTGTGCAGTCGCCACAGGATATGAAATCAGTGAGGTAGGTCTCCGTCCTGAGGCAGGTCATATGACGTGCAACCACTTCCTCTTAACAGGAGGACACAATTTTGCCGAAAGCAACAAAAGTGAACACAGAATCCCTCCTGTGAATGTAGATATTTGTTATTTCAGCACTTACAAAGGTGTCGTGCTCAGATCCAGGAGAGACTTTACATGTGTGAAAACTTTAAAACCAGAATCTTGACTAAACTTGGAGTGAGATGTTGAAACTGAGAGGTCAGGTCAGTTCACCTTTTAAGCCCTCTTTTTTTTTTTTTTTTTTTTTAATCAAGTGTTTCATCACAGACCTCAATTGTGGTCACTTTTGTGTAAAGGTGGAATAAAGCAGGCTTTAAGCATTTTATTAGAATACGCTGAGTTTCTTTACATCCTGTGGCAATGTCAGATGGATGACTTATTATTTTACACAACATTTAACACTGAAGTTGCTGTTTTGCAAGTTAGACAAATTTAAGATACTTACTAAAGTTTTATCTATGAGCTCTTCAACTTAAGTACCCATAGAAACTGCCAATAAGGTAATGTGTTAAAAAGGATCCTTTCAGTTTAAAGCCTGAATTTCCATGAACACCTTTGACTGACAGCCTTAAACTCCTCCACACTTGCATATATTTGCTTTTGATGTGTCTTCTTTAACTTTGGATGTTTGTCTCTGATAGCACTGGGCTACACTAGTGCTTTGTCGCTGTGCTTCAACGGTCGTGCTTCGGGATATAAGGTTAGTAAATATAAGTCTGATAACCACAAATGCTTTTTCATGGAATATGTTTTGCATATTTTTGTTGCACGGGATCACATGCAGCTACAACACTCAACTCTTCCAATAGCACGCACTAATCGGCATAACCGACCGTTTTCTCTTTATCTAAATAATGCAGGACTTTCATGCAGGCGAGCGGCTGCTATTGATGACACTGGTCATGTGACACGAGAATTTATGGGGTTAAAGGTCTGCAGAGGAGATCTATCAACAAATACACTTACAACTACACGACGAAGTTGATTTTTTTTTTCCCTTTTTAATGTGTGAAAGCGTTTGAAACAGCATTTTAAAGGGTTCCCGTGAGGCAGTTAATATCTTTAAATTTGAACAACAGCCTCGCTTTTGGTGGAGAACCTTTAACTTTAGGCTTGCTTCATATATATATATTTTAAAGCACCAACTGTTTTTGGCATAACATCTCGCACCTGTCAGCCTCACCTACCAGCGGTAATGACACTGTGAGTCTTGTATTCCTGTTTATCCAGGTTTACACTCCCTTCCCTTTCAGCTGTTCTATGTGAACTACCGGGTTCATCTGAGTGTGTGTGCGTCTCGTGTTTGTCTTTTTTTTTTTTTTTTTGAAACTTAAAACTGAAGATAAAAGTAGAGTGTGTATGTGTGTGACAGAGAAAAAAGACCTGTTCAGATTAAAGCAACAGCAGACAGGAGGAGGAGGAGGAGGAGGAGGAGAGCCCTGCTTGTGCTCATGGGACGCATAGATCACATCCGGGGCTGGTTTATTCTAATAACGAAACGTCCAACCCGGAAAAAAGGACAAGTCTTCTGAAATCGGATCACACAAACAAATTGAAGAGGGTGTCGGAGTTTCACGCACGCCGGTCTTGCGAATATCCACGGCTTATTTTAGGTTTTAAAAACTTTATTTAGCATGCTTCTGTTCACCAAACTCGCGTCTCTCTCCGCTGCTTCGTAGCCCTGCGGGGCGCTGGCTTTGGCGCACGCCGACTCTCCATAGCGGGTAAGTTAAGTCGACAGGGGGACTTTGTGTGTGCGTGTGTGCGCGTGTGCACGCGCGGTACAGTAGGTGTGGCTGGCCGTTGAGTCGTTGGATCTGGTGAGTCAGTGCAGGTCATCTGAGCTGAACAAATGTAATGTCTGTCAGGTGTTGCTGAGTAATTGCGCCTGATCACATTTTGACACTTTTCATTGCATGCTCATAATCACGTTGGACATGCACGCGCATGGCAGTCAAGCTTGGTATCCAGGGGCGTGCTGCACGCCGCAGCTCTTACTGTCAGTTAAACGATTTGCTCGATTAACTGGTCCACAAAATGCCAAACATCTTAAAATAGCGCTCCAGACTAGACGAAAACCCCCCAATTGTGTTCCGGATTTCAAGATCCGGATTTCTGCTTTTGTATAATCCTTTAAGATCATTTTATTTATTTATTAAATTTTACATAAAAGTGATTGTAGGGAGTGTTGAAACTACCTGGGTCAAGATTGTTTGATGACACAACAAACTGTATTTTTATTTTTATTTTATTAAGGAGCTATTCACCGTTTTCACACCTCAAAGTTAACTCAAATAGCTCTGGGGTGAACTTTGATGAATCTGAGAACAAAGTAAAGCATTTACCAGGCAGAACAAAAGATGCTGCACTGCTGTAATATGTCTGTAACAAGTTCCCCCAACGATTAAGAAGAACATGACTAAATCTCGCAGACATGCCACACGTTGGTCTAAGAGATTTACTATCAGTTTCTGTCAAACTGTGTTGTTTGCACACAGATGAAGCAGATATGTAAAGGTGCTGTAGGTGGTTTTCATTTCATTACCTTGGATGTGGTATAAGTCAATTAATATCGCTACTGTGATCTGTACATTCTGTTTTCCTGCACACAAACTGATGATTGCTCTGTTTATATTATCCTGCCACGTTTCAAAGCTAAAGTACTTGATAGAAATGTAAAGACAGTTGAAATGACATTTGTCAGTTTTACCAAAGATGCCACAGTTTCGCCGCTGTTTGTCTTCATAATGGCTAAGCCAGATGTTTTCTGATGCCCAAAATGGTTTATTGTGCACATGGGTGCATGTGTGGGGAGTGTGCTACTGTCAGAGCTGACCTCTGTGGCATCGTTTTCATTTTTCCATTACACCAAGGCTTTCTGTAGAGCGCCTCTGTATCTTTGACCTATTTAAATAGCAGCAGACTAACACATCAGAAGCACAACCCACTAATTTTTTTCAAAGCAGTTTCAAAATGAAACATTTTCTTACCCACGAACTCAAAAATAGATTCACTGGAGATTCATCGGCACGGTGAAGACATAGTCTGTGTTTGTCTTCTGTTCCTCTGAGCGGGTTGTCTGAATATTTTCATGGAAATGTTGATAATTTCCATCTCCTGAAGGCTTCCGAGCCAGGACGAGCCCGTAAAAAAGTACTGGCAGGGCGCACGGCCATTCAGTCTTGATTATGTATTTTATATGACTGTCACGTTATAATTTTTGGTCTTGTATAAAAAGATCAGTCACAGATGTGGCCTAGTTTGCCATCATATTACCTTTGTGGCCTCATTACATTCAAGTTTTTCCATAGATTCAAATCTAGTAAGGATCTTCCAAATGGATCTATTAATTTATTTGATTATTTATTTTACTGGGTGCATCCAACTTTGGAGTTTGTCTTTGTGATTACTTCACATTTAGTTGACAGAGATGCAAAAGAGGCTCCGTCAACAGTGAAAGTTCCTTTGGCAACTTAAGGAGGACAAGAATATAAATGAAGCCATAAGCCTTGTGGTTCCCCATAAGAAAAATAAATACTATGAAATGTTTGCCAATTGATAAAATGTAATTAAAAGTCTATAGAGCTGAGGCTCTCTGGGCCAAATGAGCCTCGACTGTGTTGAGGAATCAGTCAGCAGCTTGGTGATTCACACGCATGGCATTGTTTCAATGAACACATCTCACCAGCTTTCTTCCCCTCCTCTCATCTTCTTTCTTCCCTCCCTCGCTCCCTGCCTTTCCTCCCTCTCCTCTCTCCTTGCTCCTCTCTCTTCTCTGGCCAATGGAAATGTGCGTGTGTGCAGATCATGAGTGCAGTCTGTAATTTTTGGCTGTGGTGGAGGGCCTCAGCTCAGCCTCGGGCTTCAGGGTTTGCTGCACAGCCTCAATCACGTCACATGAAAAACTGCTGAGTGCGAGTGGTCTATTTCTTCCTGCGTGTGTGCGCGCATGCATGCCTGTGTGCGCTTGAACACTAAGTGAAAGATGATTTATCCTCCACATCTGCCTGTCTTTGCCTCCTGTTGCTCCCTTCACATGTTGTCTCTCTTTGTCCATCCCACTCGAATCTTTCTCTTCCTAACTGTCCGTCTGTCCCCAGTGATATGTGATATCGACAGCATGCCGTACGTGGACCGGTTGAACCGTGTGTGCGGCTTCCTGGACATCGAAGAGAAGGAGAACAGCTGCCGCTTCCAGAGACGATACTTCATCCTTGACACGCAGGGAAATGCACTGCTGTGGTATATGGACAACCCTCAGGTGCTCCACACGCGCATGCACGACCCACACTTTCACAAATGGCAAGAGGAAATGAAATTGACCAATAGTGGTCATATAACCTTGGACTCTGAGCCAACGATGAGTCTGTGTATTTGTGTTTGTATGCAGAACCTGCCCAGTGGAGCCAGCTCTGTTGGCAGCCTGAAATTAACCTACATCTCTAAGGTAAACCACTTTCATGACTGACTCTGCAGTGTGGTTGCATACAGTAAAGTCCAGCGCACCAACTTAGATATCTAAAATGCGAGCACACAAGAATTCACAGAATACACACAAATAGCATGCAAATTCGTGCAAGAGTTCATAGATACACAAAGAGGTCAGAGTTATCTCTAGTTAACGGTCACATGCAGCGCAGAGCTGAGGCAGACGCTGTGAAGTTTTCCAGATGTCAGCGCGCTCACTGAGGTAACCACAGATAATGACATCTGGCTCCTCTGCACTGCAGCGCTGACGGCTTCTCCCTGGACACTCAGTCAGATCTATGTCAAAAATGTGAATCTTCTATTCCTCTGTTTTTTTTCACTCCTTTCAGTTTATATTCACATTTCTTTTCTCTTCTTCTATCCTCAGGTGAGTGAAGCTACAACGAAGCAAAAGCCCAAGACAGAGTTCTGCTTTGGTGAGTTTTTTAGGGAGGAACAGAGTGACACTGATGAAATGGTTCACAATCACATAACCTCCCATATGTGATAGTATTGTCCATTGCATTTAATGTGGATATTTACGGAACTGATTTCTTCTCCGGCAGTCATCAATGCACTTTCGCGACGGTACTTCCTGCAAGCCAATGATGTGACCGACATGAGAGACTGGGTGGCTGCTCTCAACAAGGCCAGCAAGATAACAGTAAGTGCCGTTACATGAGAAAATGCTTGATCTAGCAGTTATTGGTGGTGTTAGGGTGGGGGAGTGAGGGTTGTTTCCACCTGAGTGCAGGAAGCTGCAATTTTGCTGCGGTGGGACTGAAACCAGTTTGACCCAGGCGGCTGCAAATGCCAGCCCGTTGCCCACAGATACCCCTTCGCACACACACACACGCACATACACACATTGCTGAATGAGGAAACTGTGAATGTGCAAGAAGACGAGTGATAACGCAAACGTCACTGCGGTGAAGGTGTCGAAACTTGTTCATATGTATTTGCATAATATTTGTGTGAGCTCAATGAAATGTCCGGGGGCCTCGTTGATCAGTGATATTCAGATGTCTCCTGATGGAAGGTAACAGAGAAGAGTGTCTCTCTGCCTCTCTCACCTGCTCACTGACACAGGAAGCGGCACTGTTCACTCTTTTTCACTTCCCCATCGAGGGCAGGGCTGCTCTGCCGCCTTTTTTTTTTTCCTTTTTCTTTCATCTTTTCTTTTTCTTTTTCTGAGCGAGTGTAAAAAAGGAAATCATGATGTAATTGCAGGAATAAAAGTGGCACGGGGGGAGTAAAGTTATTAAAATGCATCTCTTAATATTTGTCTGTTTGAGCTAGATGTGTTGCAGTTTATTAGGAAATGATACATTTAGCTGAATGATTCAGCTGAATGACCAGTTTTGGGAAACTGTAGGCTAGATAACGGCTCTAAAAGCAGAAAATGCAGCACAGCATCACACAGCCGTACTATTGTTTTTACTTTATGACCAGCATGCACCTGCAAATCTGTTGTTTTTCTTCTTTTCCTGCTCCCTACTTGATATACACCCCACGCTAACATTTGTGTGTCTAGTGAGCTTTATTTGCTTGGATACACTTGGTTGCGCTTTTGTGCATCAGTGGACTTTGAGAAAGCTTGCAATCTCTCATAGCAGATCACATTTAATGTGTTTTCAGTTATCTCTGCAGTAAAACAGTCACGGTGTTGTGGCGAGCGTATGACTAAGAAAGTATTCCCAGAGTGAGGAAGAGCGGCTGTGGAAATTAAACAATTAAGTCCTTTTATTTGCTCACAGAGGTGTCCCGTCTCTTCACAGGTGCCTAAGTCTTGCCCTGCACCTGTGAGGCCTGATGTGACCACAGTGATCAGTGATGCTCAAGGAGGGAAGAGACAACAGGCCTACAAGGCTGAGATTATTGGTGGCGTGGTGGTGCACACTCCTATTCAGGTAAAATGAATAGGGGACACACACTTTTTTTGAATTTTTATTTTTTTTTAGCATTATAAGAATGAAAACTGTGGCAAAAGCACACAAAAATGCGGTGTGCTAAGCTAGTCTGAGTTATTGACAGTGGTGGTTTCCGTGACCATGATATCTAAAGTGATAATAAAGATGGTTTTCATGAAATGTTTCAGAACGACAATGAAGAGACGGAAGGGAGAGAGAGGAAGGGCAACAGGCCGGGTTTGCTGAGATGTGGTTACTGTGTTAAACAGGGAAATGTGGTGAGTCTCATAACAGGTTTAGACTGAGACTGAGTCTGAGTAAAAAACGGCATGTGTGGAAATGGTAATGTGGTATGTGTTTCAGAGGAAGAGCTGGAAGAGGCGGTTTTTCACCCTGGATGACAACGCAGTCAATTACTACAAGACTGAGTCGGTGAGAAAACAGAGTTTTCATGTTTTTGCCCATGTTTCTACATGCTTAAGAGTGACTATTATCTTTGTCTGAATATTTTTGTCCCAAATTTTTGAAAACTACAGTGTTATAGCAGCCAAAACATTAAAAAATAACCCACAATAATACAAAAACAAAAAATCTGTCTTAGGAGAAAGATTTTATCCGATCTATTCCACTGAGGGACATTCAGAAGGTGCATGAATGCCTCGTCAAGTCGGGGTGAGTAAAACATGAAAGTTGTCTGAGTCTGCCAGCATTTTTGCTTTCCCTCTGTCTGGTTATCGCTATACTATGTAAACAATTGTGAATACTTGCATGTGAGCAGATGATACACTCTTAACCGGTTTTAAAGTGTTGCATTGCATGTATGGACAAGTTTAGCCTTATCATTTTTAGATGAGTTTCACAGGTTTTAAAAGGGGCCCTTAAATATAAGTTATAAATGGTGTGAACAAAGGTAGTGAAAGTTTGAAATAATGAGGTCAACATGTGATCGTTATGAGCCAAACGTGTAGGCTTCAGTCTGATTTTTTTTTTTTTTTCTACTCATAACTCTGTGAGCCTTCTCAGAGAAGCTCCTCTCACCTGCTGCCCAAACCTTCTGTTTGCGAGAAGCAGCTAATCAGAAGAGAGCTGGCTCAAAGTGAGCAAAAACAAATAGCTTTAGACAGATGATAAACTGAGGAACTGCACCATGGCTCAGTATTAGGAAATTAGGTTACACTTTATAATACGCCGCGTGACTAAAACTGTAATTTCTCTGTAATTAAATTGAACTTTTTTATTTGAAATTACAATCTAATTATATTTCCCTACAAATGCTTAACGGTAGGTAGACTACCAAAAGGTGTTAACAAGTCAGGATTTTACAGGAAACACTGAAATAATTGCACTGTGTAAGTAATTTTATGCGGTACAGTAATTTTAAGTATTGCATAACTGAAACGCACTCCATAATATGGCCCGTGCCCCAAAAAGTACAGCATACTTACAGTATAAGATGGGGAAATATTATATTTTTATCCATAAAATGACCAAGAAATTACAAAATATCTAAAATATTTTAGATATTGATTTTTACAGGAAAAAAGACAGAAATGATACTGTAAGTAATATTACTTACAGTATCATTTCTGTCTTTTTTCCTGTAAAATACATCAAGTTATGCACTACTTAGATTTATTTACAATATAATATTTTTTTGTTTCCTCTAGAAACCTGTCTTTTTACCCCCTTTTTATTCTAGTGTACCGTATTTTTCGGACCATAAGGTGTATTAAGCGAAACAAGCATTGGCATTCATCTTCCAGCTTCACTGTTTATGTTATGCTAGCGATCACGTAGCACATCATTATATACCAGCTAGTCCAACTTCAGTAACCCTACAAACTTCACTGCTGTTTCGTTTTCTGTCTTCATTTATGTTGGAAGTTATAGCAGAGCTGTAAGTTTTAATTTTTCAGAAATCTCTCAGTCAGAACATCATGTTTCGGTGGAAACTAGCGAGCTAACTTCCTGCTAACTTCTAACTCTGTTAAATTTAATAAATTCTGTTTTCATGGATGCCTGGATGTTAAACTTAATTGTTACACCTGGTAAAGCAGCAAAGCTGATCATTTTATTAATGATGAAAGAATTTAGACAGTTTTTAAGTCTCAGTGATGCCGCATTGTACGTTTGACTTTGGGACCTGAAGTAGAAGGAGTTTTGGACCCAGATAACTCCGAGGCTCCTGACTACGGTAGCCGCAATGCTCCGACAATCCATCAAGCGGTGCGGCTTCGTTGCTTACCAAAGTCGTACTAAGACATTTTTTGACAGATGTTTGAGTGCCGTGAACCACATAAAATCGGTTCGAGGTCAGTAAGCACAACCAGAATTCATACATAAGGCGCACTTTCGGTATGCATGTCTTTAAGTATTTGTAGGTAGGTAAATATAATTAGATTACACTTTAAAATAAAATACATAGAAATTCCATTTAATTACAGGGGGATTACGTCCTTAGTCACTGGCCATATTATGAACTATTGCAGAAAATTAAGAATTATTTAGTATTGTAAATTCACAGCTACTGTAATCAAGAGTCCAAGAAAAACTGGAACTGCAAATGATCATCATAGGTCCCCTTTTAAATATCAGTGCAAGATAAAGTTTTATATAGTTTATAGTTTATATAGTTTTAGCTCATGATCCAGTATTAAAGTTGGCCACTGAATACAACTTGACAGCTGGAGAAGTTGTGGATGGTCTTAAAAAATACATGGAAAATACTTTCGTTCAGATCTTTAGTATGAGTTTTTGGCGTTTTTATAAATGGACATTACAAACAAACTTTATTTTCATGTCTACCGTCTTATTGTATGCGCTGTTACAGTGTTTTTCCCCCCTCTGTTGAAACCTCTCTTTCTCCCTTAATAATTAGTCACTTTAGGCTTGAAGTTGAGCTTCAGTTGCGAACCTATTAGATTCATTTGTATATACTTGCTGAACTTGAATGTATAAGTATTGTAAATGACACTGTAGAACACACTCTAGCTTTTGTCCCTTTCTTTAGCTGCTTTAAGTTTTAACTTTTTGCATCCATCAGGGAGCTCCTGCTTAGAGACAACCTCTTTGAGATCATCACCAGTAACCGAACGTTCTACATTCAGGTAAAACCTTGTTCTCCTTTTGTATACAACACTCATTAAAAAAAGGCCTGCATTCATGAAATGAAGGGAATGTCCCTGTTGTATTTTTAGACATTTGAATAAGAACAGAGAAGCTCTGTATTCCCTGGTGACACCGTCCTGATCTGTCGACATGTTTTCTCTAAATGCTCTGCTGCTGAAGTGTGGCGCAGTCGCTTTTTTAAGGAGCATGCGAAGTTTGTTTTTGTGAAAGGGGCACAGCCATCTGTTATCATAACAACAATAATATCCGTTCCCCCTCCTCTCCCCCGGGAGAACAGCTGACGGAGGCGTTGGGGGCTGGATCAGATAGGAAGTGCGGGGATAGAGACAGACTGCAGGCAAGAGCGCTTTTGTTTGTTTGTGCAAGGGAAAAAAAGGAAGTGTGAAAAACAAATAATAAAATGAAGTAAATAAAAACAGGATAACCACAACTTCTCATTCCGTGTGTGGACACTGTAATAAAAAGTGATCTAAGCTAAAATAAAGATGAATATTTGAGTCCTTACACACCTTTAATAGCTTGAGAGCGGATAGTGATCTCCTGTCGTGCATTCTTTCCAAACATAAACACATGACAATAAGTACAGTTACCACCGAGGATAATTTTCGAGTACTGTTCTAGCTTTTTTTTTTCTGATAACATCAGGCAATTCCCATGTAGTGCCAAACCACAATAATAGTTCCCTTAAGGCGCTTTATATTATAAGATGAAGACACTACAATAATAGAAAACCCAAACAATCAGACGACCCCCTATAAGCACGCAGATGACGACAGTGGGAAGGGAAAACTCGCTTTTAATAGGATGACACCTCTGGCAGAATCAGGCTAAGGGGTGGCGATCTGCCAAGACCAGTTATGGTTGGGAAAGGGGGACAGGAGGAAAGACAGCCAGAGATTATTAATAACTAATGATTAAGTGCAAAGTGGTGTATAAACACATATAGAGTGAAGAAGAAATGCTCAGTCCACACCAGCAGCCTAGACGTATTGTAGTGTAACTCAGGAAGGGTACGGGGTCATGTGAGCCAATCCTAAGTTTAAGCTTTATCAAAAAGGGAAAAGAGTGTCCAGGGTTGCCAGTTTGGATTTGTCTGTGGAGCTTGCTCCAAAGATGAGGGAAGCTGAAAGCTCTGTCTCCCATTCTATTTTTATGATTAATATTTGCGTTGCAGTCGAACACCAGCAATATCTTTGCTGATGCCTCACTACCTGCCGAAGCGAGTTCTGGTGCTCTGCCTTTGGCAGATGGGTAATTTGAGCCTGGTTCTGTTGGAGGCTTCTTCCTGTTAAAAATGAGTTTTTCCTTCCCGCCATTGCCAGGTGGTTGCTCATAGGGCATTGTTTGATTTTTGGGTCTTTACCTTACAGTATACAGCGCCGTGTGACGACTGCTGTTGTTGCGTTTTGGCCTTATTAAAGGGCAGGTAACAGGCACAAAAGCTACCATGAAACATAACATGGGCCCTTTCTCTCTACAGACAGACTCGCCAGAGGAAATGCATGGTTGGATCAGGGACATTCAGATGAAGATCCAGGATTTCAGGGGTCCCTCTAAGGTAACTCTATCTTCAGAAATGGATAATTCTTTACTTCTAGCTGTAAGTTATTGGGAGAAAAGTGTAAATCCTTGCTTACGATTGACAGCGGGGATGCTTTTGTCTCTTTAATTGCAGGGTTTTTCTTTTAAACGTGCTTCTTCGTGCTATCGGAGTTACAATCCTTCCTCTACATCTCGTGGTTCGCAGAGTGAAGCAGATAGGAGACCTCAGCTGGTGAAGTCCTGCTCTGTGGCGCCAGGATGGCAGCCCTGGACACCCGTTCCATCGTGTGAACCGTCTATCATGGATAACGAGGATGAGGACAGCGCCTTCAGCTCTGTGCCGCTCTCCTCTTCGTCCACCTCCTCATCTGCTTCCTCCTCCTCAAACTCCCTCTCTACCCAAAATCCTTGCCCCGTCACACATCCGGCACCTTCGGCCAGTGGACTGGGGATGCTCACAGCATCCGCAGATGCGGCGAGTGGGCGTCGAAGGCACCGCTCGCAGCCTCAGCCTCAAACCGGCTGCAGCTTTCCCTTCAGCCTGGATGACGACAGCATCCGCACCACAGATGTGTAATCCAGAGATGTTTGAGGAGACTCCTGCGTGGGCTGTGCTGACACCTGTTTTTAAATGAATGTGACTCCTATTGAAGGGCCACTGTGACCATCTGCCTCAATGCCAGGCCATGAGCTTGGTGCCCCCTACTGGTGAAGTAGCACTTATACAGATGAAGGATGCACCCTGCTGCAGGAAGGCTAAGAGGCATAGTGTTTGTTGTACACAGGACTGTGAACAGATAAAACGGAGTGTTTTCTTTTTCCTTTTTTTGTAAGTGTAACTTCCTCTGAAAACTTGAATGATTTTGTTGATTATTGCCGACAGTAAAATGATGGCACACGCTTTTCACTCTGTTTCTTTGCTCCTATCAGCAGGACCCCATTATCACCCCAGTTACAAGTGTTCACATTCACAATATATTTTTATGTCCAAGCTTGTTTTTGTGTTTAAATGTATCAGACGGTTGTGTTTCTGTTTTTTTTGTTTTTTGTTTTTTTTCCCGGGCCAACAGTGTTTTCCTTTGCTCTTGAGGGGCATCATGTGTGGAAAAACTTCACATAATAATTAACAAGCATGTTATACCTGTTGTCTTTCATGTGTTTTGCCATGAAAACCCTCAGAGGCAAGTAAAGGGGGAAAAAAATCTGGTGATCCATTTCTAAACCTGCTCTATGTTGTTTCTTCTCTTGTTTGTATGAATTAAGAATGGCTAACATTTTTTTACATTTCATTCACTTTTTGCTAAATGTCATCTATTTGCTCTCTTTCTGAAAGGCTTTGCTCTTGCAATAGTCATTTTAGCCACATTAAGCCAACACTCCATTTTTAAAACACACAAAGCCGGACATGTTTCCCTTTAGTTGGATTATTGTGTCTTAAAGGGAGCACACAAGTTCACCCATGGCTTGACACGCCTTCCACAACAGCAACTCTAAGGTACTAGGAAGATTGTACAGTTGATGCGAAGAAGAGTAACACTAATGACTGTGTGCACGATAACATCTGTATCAACACAATTTACTTCAGCTTGTGTCCGCTGGCATGTTTTTTCGCAGCATGCTGGGAAAACCCAACCCACCTACGTACGTCAAAAGAAAAGCAAGATGGGACCTTTAGATAAGTTCTTAAGACATAATATATGTGCTTTGTTTTTAAGAGTGGATGAAGAAATTAACATAAATGCTTTTACCTTAGAACATGGCACAGTGGGACCTGTCACCCTCTCGTGGCCAATATAAGTATTACAGAAATGGCAAAGGGCAGGAAATTTTTTTTTTCTTCCTTGTTTTCAGTGAAAAACCCCCATAGAAAAGCATGTTTTTCTGACAAAAGGTTTTTCTTCCAGCTGTTTTCCAACATGAGAAGAAAGTGAGTTGGAAAAATGGTTCTGACACTGGCAGCCTTTGCCTCTTTTTTTTTTTTTTTTTTTAAATGTGCCAGAGCATTTTAGGGGGAAAATTTAATTTAGAAAATTAACCTTGCCAAACCAGCCCTTGTTTTTCATAAACCCGGGATGGAGAACAAGTTAGAGTTTGCAAATGGATCTCCGCAATTTTTTTGTTCTTGCTTGCCTCTCAGGGCTTTCGTATCCACCACTATTAATATTAATACTTGGCTTAAAGATCAATTTTCAGTAAGCTGTGACTCTTCCGTTTGGTTTGAACACAGTACCATACTAATGCTGCAGTGTTTTCATGGTACTAAATTAGCTCAGTTGTTGGTAAAGCAGTTTTCTTTTTGCAGAATTATGTGGGAAGATTTGCGACTGCCTTGGGTAATGTTATCTGCACTTTGTGTTTCTTATTTTTACTTTTTTTTTTCTTGTTTTGTCACAGCTTTCACACCATGTGCTACAGTTTCCTCTTAGATTATGCCTTTTGTTTTTTTTACACCCTTGTTAGGTTCACCTTGAGATTTCATTGATGTGGTACCAGGTTTATTCCTGTTTCCGTTTTCTGACGCTATATGCACTCATCTGCCTGCAATTAAGCTTAATTTTCTTTCTTGTGAATAAAACAAGGCTTTTTATTTGTCTAGTTTAGGCTGTTTTTGATTTTTAAGGTTTACGACTTTCCCACCTCCTGTCATGTAATGCCTTGTATGCCCATACAGAGTTTAAACCTAAACACATTGTAACATTAAGGTTATCTTTTGATCGAAGTGATGCTGGTGAGTCTTAAAAACTTTTTATGTGTTTTCTCTGTAAAGGGCGAAAATCCCCAACTTCCAAACATTCAAAGGGTCAGTGCCAGCACACTTGCCCTTTAACACTGTCACCTTAAAACACATGCATGACATATAGACACAAACACGAGCGTGCATGCACACGCCAATTGAGTGGCCAGAGGCTGAGTTAAGTGAAGTGTTTCACACATCCAGTGCAAAGTCCATTAGATAAATTGCCCTAAAACTCTGTCCTGACCTCTGTCCACTTCCCTCTGTGCCTCCTAGGGCAGCTGTGCGACTGGTGAGGGTGAAATGTCTCCAACTGAACAGCTTAAATTGTGTCAGTATAGGTAAAAAGGCCCTCAGTGCTCGTGAAATGTCAGCTGTGTTGAAATTAGTTTTCAGTCTGTTAAAGACAAAGCTCCTGGAGGTAATGAGAGAAATCCAAGCAGAAACACAGGAAAAGTGGAGATGAAGCCAGTGACTAATTTTTTACGAGGTTTAGGAAAGAAAAAAAAGAAATGAAGTGGATAGGGGGTGACATTCTGGGGAACGTGTACCTGTGCATGACCTCCAGGTTTAAAAACTTCCTTAACTGTGGGGCTTGGCATGGATCTGAATCTTGAAAGCAACATAGAAAGCTCAGAAGTAATCTGAGGAGTTTCTTGCTTCTCTGAGTTTGTTCATAGTTTGAGAAACAAAGAGATAAACGTCTGGAAATACAGCGTCACGGTAGAAGCCTTCGAGGTTGAACTTCTTTTTCCTGTCTGCACAAACATAACTTAAAGGTCACACAGCACTTCGGTCTGATGCCTGTGAGTGACGGGCAGCTATGAGGGCAGGCAGACACACTGCTCCCCTAAATGTTAATGTTCCCACATGAATGACTCTGCAGCACACTGCACTCTCTCTTTCTCTCTGCCTCCTGCTCACATTGGTTACACTCTGGTTATTTTAAATGTTACAAGATAAAATTATTTCTCTCAGCAGAAATGATTTTAAGATTAAAGCTTGTTGTTGCTTGTACACCGATTTGAGGATTTATTTGTTTCTTATGACATCTGATGATAATCATCTCTTATGCTACCAGTTATTAGTTCCCCGTTTGCAGAAGATTACCACTAGAGGGAGCTATGATACACCGCACTTCATTCAACATACTATGAAGCTGTCAAAACACTCAATGAGCAGCATGCTTGTAGTTCAGTGAGATTACATTGACTTGCTGTAAACTCCCTAAAAAGTCTGACAAGAAGCTGTAAAGCCTTTCAGCATTAAAGCACTGAAATAGTATTTTAAATCTGAACAGTTGCAGCATTTTCCCAATGATTTTCACACTAATCCCCTCCAAGATATAAGCACAATAATAAAACCAAGGAGGGCAAATAATAACAAAGACTTGTTTAGAAAAGAAGTGTATTATCAGTAATCACAGACTGGCTGTATTATATAAAAATAAACACATTAAAACTAGACAGACTCGGTCAAGTTTTGTTCTAGCGAAAAAATATTTTGCATATAAATTTGATTCTCCAGAGGTTTAAGGGTTACTTGTGTTTTGTATAGCTTATAGGCCTTGAATACAATCCAGTGCAAAAATGTAGACACTGTGGCATGAATATCCAAGTGGGACTTGAAGTTTATGTGTCAAGCTCTATTTCATACCCTTAAAATCTCAGAGAAGCTGAGCATCAAGACCTTTGATGGTGAGTTACCCGCATAGAGTTTTGCCCACAGGTCAATAAACTGAGAGTGTTCATTCATTCATGGGTAACAGTGTTGTAAAGCTCTGGAAGAGTGTGTCTGTGACACTACTTCTAATTGCAAGACTTTCTCGGGTTCCTGTAGTTCAGATTAATAATAGCTAATAATTCAGATTAAACTAGTTAATGTGTAAATGTGTGTGTGTGTGTGTGTGTGTGTGTGTGTGGAGTCCTTTAGATAATGGTTTAGGTAAACCATTCTGGTTTAGTGTGATGTCATATTGCTCTGTTATTAGTCCGTTAATTCTCTGGTATTACAGATGAGCAAAGCATTAAATTAGTGCCCAGCAGAAAGCAGAGGCTTTCCAACATGTGTAATATGAAGTCATATTAATGTGGAACAGGTTTTCCTTCATCTGGACTCAGAGGCCCCCTCTGGACCACTGCCAAACCTCCACCCTCCGCTGTTCCCACATCAGACCACCTTACAAACTGGAGGCAGGGGGGGTTTGGAATGTATTTTGCCCTGTGTGATGTGATTGTTTGCAGAGAAATGGGTTGACCTTGCCCTCCAATGCCACACACACATACACACACTCGTTCTAGCCGAGCTGGAGGTGTGTGAGACAGACCTGCTGAGTGCAGGAGGTCTGGGACCCCTTCACCACTTCCTCCAGACAGAGAACAGAGGATCCAGTCAGCTGAAGCCAGGATGGGACAATAATGAGCCTTCCAGCAACCACCACCACCTCATTTATTCAAACTGTTGCCTCTAGCTTTTCTTCTTCTGGACCAAGCAGCTACAGGATCATACCAAATGAAGAGTTATACCCTAAGAAGCCGATTTAATAATGAGATTAAGCACTTAAAACTAAAGATTAAAATATTAGACGTGGGACTGTTTTAAATAGCAAGTACACAAAAGTATTCAGTCAAACATGAACTTGACTGAATACTGAGGTGTGTGCCCTGTAAAAATGTGGTTTCCAATAGTAAATGTTTCATTTTCAAAGAAATGTGCCTACATTTTGAGAGCAATCGGATAGTTAGACAAAAAAACATTTGTTCTTAAAGACAAGTTTCAAACTCATAATTTAAATGATAAATTAACGCTCTTTGTTAAGTAAGATTCTTTTAAAGAATTAGTAGTTTTGTCACTATTTGGTTATTAATCCGAAATATTTCTCCAAGGTTTTTATTTTATTATCACAAATATTTATAGGCCGTCTATAGAAAAATGGTTAAAATAAAATTCTCATGTTTTAACGCTTATAAAGAAGCGCCAAACTGCGTGTATTTTAAGCGGCAATTCGGCAGGTTTCGATTTAGCTTGCAGGCCCATATTAATAATTAATTGACTTTTAGCAAATATTTCTGGGAAACTATATTTAAACTTAAAAAACCTTGTGTTTCGAGGAATAGAGAAAATACTTGTAATTTTCTAAATAAATAAACGGATTGCAACAACCTTCCAATAGCCTGAAAACCAAAATACATTAATAACATGTTTCTTTTATGTAGGAAGCCCTCTGAAATATATATATATATTTTAAACCTTGTATGTTTGTATGTGGGTTTGCTGTTTCAGAT